GCCATAGCCCCCCCTAGAGGCTGTGTGGAAGAAGAGCAGCCAAGGAAGAATGCCTTGGGTAGAGTCTGGATCACAAGGCTCTGCCACAAACACAGGGCTTTTCCGCACAAGGCCTCTGTTGTGCTTCTAACTGCTGTGCCTGCTTTCAACTGTGCCACAGCCTGGAGATCCAAGTTTGCTATCAAAGGCTCTTCCTTTCCTGCTCTTCTGCTATGTGCCTTGCGGGTCAGCTATGCCCGCCATCTAGGAGTCCTCTGCGTCCACGTAGGCAGCACCTCTCACACTTGCTCCTCCTTGTCTAATAGCTCCGAACACTTCGCTGCTGCTGTGTAGGCTTTCACACCACCATCTCCAGCTGAGCTAAAGCCCAGATTTGTCACAATGAGCCCTTGTTAGCTTGTCTCTCCTTGCTCCCTCCCTCCTTTCCAAGACAGTAGCAGCCCTATAAGTAGTAAGGAGTCTGGCAAGGCTGCATATAAGTTAAATAGCCCTGCCTATTTAACTTTTATGCAGAGCACATCATGCGAAAGGCTGGGCTAGATTTATCACAAGTCAGAAATAAGATTGCCGGGAGAAATACCAACAACTTCAGATATCCAGACAATACCAAAATTAAGATCATGGCATCCGGTCCTCTCCCCAGGAGCAAGCGTCTTTTAATTTCTTGGCTGCAGTCCCCATCTGCAGTGATCTTGGAGCCCAAGAAATTAAAAGACGCTTGCTCCTGGGGAGGAAAGCTATGGCAAATCTAGACAGCATACTAAAAAGCAGAGACATCACCCTGCCAACAAAAGTGCGTATAGTCAAGGCTATGTTTTTCCCAGTTGCAATGTATGGCTGTGAAAGCTGGATCATAAGGAAGGCTGAGTGCCAAAGGATTGAGGCCTTTGAATTGTGGTGCTGGAGGAGACTCCTGCGAGTCCCTTGAACTGCAAGGCGATCAAACCGGTCAGTCCTAGAGGAGATGACCCCTGACTGCTCTTTAGAAGGCCAGATCCTGAAGATGAAACTCAAATACTTTGGCCACCTGATGAGGACTCCCTGGAGAAGAGCCTAATGCTGGGAACAATAGATGGCAAAAGAAGAAGGGGACGGCAGAGGATGAGGTGGCTGGATGGAGTCACTGGGATGGTGGGTGTGGCCTTGGGTGGACTCCAAGGGATGGTGGAGGACAGGAGATCCTGGAGGAATGTTGTCCATGGTGTCGCGATGGGTCAGACATGACTTTGCGACTAAACAACAAGAAGCAGCCCTGTACACAGAAGCCTTCAGCAAGGAATTTCTGCCCTCACCACATGGCCCTCTACATCAGGGCAGAGCAACCAATTTTAGGTGGAGGGCTGAATTGCCCCAGGGGGCTCTGCATGGGCTGGATGATGCCACCGCCTTGTCCATTGCTGCCCCCACCCACCCACTGGCCCTTTCTCTGTGGTGAGAGGGCGTGGGGTGTCTGTCATGGCGGACAAAGACAAGGAACTACTACTGGGAGAAGTAGCTGCTTCCCCCCCAAGACTGCCTAGTACCCCCTTGACACTGCCCAGCACACCTGGAAGCCCCGTCCCCCATTGTCTGCTATAGCCTCTTCAGCTTTTAGATTGGCAGTACCTTCAGCGGTTCTCCAAGAGGGGTGCATGGAATTCCTCCAATGGGCAGAGCTGGAAATTAATCTCCACTTCCTATAGGAATGCAAGGAGATGCCACAGGTCAGATTGCTCTTCCCAAAGTGCCTTATGCTACCAGGACAAGTCAGGGTTTAAGAAAGGATAAAGGCAACTTGCATGCAGCCAATGTTAAAATAAGCCACTTAAAATAAAATACAGACACAAACTTCTGGCACCAAAAGCTACCATAAAATGTTGTTGATTGAAAGCTCATTAACACTGAAGATCTATGCACAACTGTGGATGCTGTTGAGAGCAGACAGCTCTATTCCACGTAAGCGTGCCCATTCTGTTGGAGCAGGATGGAACATTGGCTTTCCAGTAAATATACCTTCAAGGACAGGTTAAAATTGATAGCAACTAAAATAGCAAGAGACAAAGTCAGTAAAACTAGGCTTGTGGCCTTTGCAGCCAACATTCTTTAGTAAAATTAATACAGAGAGAATAAATCTTATCTGTAATGCTTACCTGGGGTGGCGAGAGGTGGATCAGATCATCCCGTGATGATGGAAGCGAGGCCAGAGTCTCACTGCTTTTGCCTTTTAATAGAACTGTGGGCTTGATCCGTCCCCCCTGAGTGCAGGTAGCCCCGCAGGAGGCACTCTGCAGCGCCCGTTCCTGCTCCCAAGGGCTGGACCAAAGCTGATGGGTCAGGTTCACTGGTCATCCCTGGTCATCAAAGGCTCTGCACTTCAGACGCTAGTCACCCAGCAGCCAACTCTTCCTCAGCTGCCTCGAGGACAGGCCGGCTCAAACGGAAGAAAAGTCATGCCCAAGAGGCGAATGTGTGTGTCAAGCCCACCAATCCATGAGCACGATGGAGCAAGCCCACCAATCCATCTCATTGCATAATCTGTATATTTTTGGATCGGAACAAATTCTGGGCAAATACAAAATATCAAAATGCAAAACAACAGCAACTCATTAGCTGTTCAAGGTTAAGCAGCAAAGTCACGAACGCAGCTAAGATCTCTATTGTCTGCATAACCACAATCATTAAAAAGGAACATGACCATTACATAACTTCTATTTATTCTGCCCCCGTAAAGAGCTATTTGGAAACTTTGGTCTGCTACTGCATCTGTTCCAATGGAATGGGCATTTAGTGTACAACCTAGCACGTCTCATTCCTACAGGTCCTAAGATTTCAGAAGAGGGATATGGATTAATCCTATGGCCCCATAAAAAGTTTGGGAGGCCATAGGATAATACTCTTAGTCTGTGTCATTTTCAAACTAATCATACCTTAGTTATCATAAATGAATTGAAAGTGAAAATGTCATGCTCTGGAGTTACTCTAACTTTTCAGTCAGATATCGGTGGCTGAAGCATGCCTTGATGCTGCACATGATCATTGCCAGTTGAATACCATAACAGGGTCACATAAAATGCTTTTACCCGAAACATTTTGCTCCAGAATTCCTCAACAACTGAGCATGGCCACCTCACAGAGTGTAAAGATCAGTGTTCTAAGTCAAATGCGAGGCTTCAGATGCAGGGTTTGGATGCCATTGTAATGGCTGCCCAGAGAGAGTGATGCTATCGGGCAGCTTCCAAGCAAATTCAACAAACAATCAAACAAACAAACATAAGCCAGAAAACCTCAGTGCTGATGCTGAGAAAAAGTATACTGTTTTAATTTTAAGGATACAAATGGAAAGAAGACGTTCAGCCCGGAGGAAATTATCTGGAAGATACCACTGAATTCAAATTTCAGTGTTGTGAGAAATACAATGGGTCCTTTACCAATTCTGTATGAATATCTCGTGGGATCGCCTTCCTCTAAAAAGAGTAAGTATAAGAAATTATGGGTATGGCAACTCCCAATGCATGTTGAATAAGCCACCTAAGGGCATTTCTAATTTGAAATACATGATTTATTGACTAATTAATAATATGTACTGCTTAACCTAATGAAAATCTCCAAGGGGTCCATCCTGGCTGGCTGCTCATAACCCCCTGATTGCAAATGTCCAATTGAGTGGGGGAAGAATGCGGAAGCAGGGATCTCCACCGCCGGCGTGTGAGGAGGAGCAGCTCAGGCATCCCCAGCAGGCCGCATGCTGATGAATCCTCGCTCCTTCCCTCCCCGCCCTGCCCCACCCAGCCCCAGCTCTGAAGTCGCGCCGGCAACTCTGGAGCCGCAGCTGGCATGGAAAGAGCGGCACTAGCTGGGAGGCTCCCGCCTTGGGATGCACTTCTGCAGTGAAAGCTGGGGCTCGGATCTATGCTATGTATGGTTTACGTATAACTATTTTAAACTACATTTGATATACGTATACTATCAAAGTAGTTTCAGCTACAATAAGAATAACAGTACAAGCAAAGACAGTAAAATAGAGGTGAACATGATTAATTTCAATTAATTAATTTTCAGCTAGGGAAAGTCCAAGTGACCAAGTCCATTTTTAGCAGGCGTTAATAACTCTCTCTCTCTCTCTCTCTCTCTCTCTCTCTCTCTCTCTCTCTCTCTGTGCCCTGACTTCATGGAGGTGGGTTTTCCACTACTGGGAAGGCCCACCTTCAGTGCATTTCATGCCCACATTCTCTTGGTTGCAGACTGATCTACAAGGTATCGCCACATTTCTTAAAGGACAGCTGGGGTACGCAGGGAACAACGGCCTTTCCCTGCTGGACGTCCTGATCCCAAGGCGTGTAAAGCTTTACATGCAGAGGACTTCTTTTAACACAGCTGTTGCATGAGTGTTGTTGAGCACCCCAGGTCATCCTAGCTGCTGGATTTCATGCTCCCTGCAGTATCCAAATGAGGCAGATACCGCACCACAAAGTGCTGGCAGTAAGCTAGCTGTGAACAGCAAAGGCTGCAGGTCATGTGCATGCAGGATGGGTGCTCCGTGTGTGGTGTGGTGTTGGCGTGGGGCTCAGCTCCTGACGAGTGCTGCATGAAGAGCGCTTGACAGGAAGCTGGGCTCAAGGCCATGAGAAAGCAGGCTGGAGTCCAGGGAGCGGAGCCCAGGGAACTCAATGGACTCTGACCCCCAAACAGGCTCCTCAAACATTCCTAGCGGACCCCATCCCAGAAGGAGAGTAGTAGGCACACAAAGTGTGTAATGGATATTCTGGGCCACTGGAGTCACCCGAGCTTCCAGTGACAGAAATGTCTAGGAGCACCTCCAATCTACCAACCTGCTCTGCAGAGGTGGTGCAGCTCCATCCAGCACAAATAAATAACCCAGTTCCTGGAGTGAGGAACCTCTCATAGGGTCTCCTCCTTTCTGGGATTTAACTCCAGTTCATTGGGCCTCATCCAGTCCACAACTGGATCAGGCACCTCTTCAGAACACGCACAGTCTCTCCTGAGTCAGACATTACAGAGGAAGAGGGCTGGGTGTCACTAGCCTACTGGCAACACCTTGCCCTAAATCTCCTGATAACCATCTCAGCAGCTTCGGATAGAGTCGACGACATTGGGTGGGGCTGGGAGATGTCCTGTGGCGCTCACAGTTCAGCTGTAGAAAGCTGAGGCTCAGTTGCCAAAAGGCATTTTCTAGACCAGACTGCAAAATGGTGTTCCAAACCCAACTCACAGAGATGGCCCAGGAGGACGCTCTGGTCAACTGAATCAAAGGCCACTGAGAGGTCAAGAAATAAAAAGGGTTGCACATCCCCTGTTCCTCTCCCAAAGAAAGTCATCCATCAGTGCAACCAAAGCGGATTCCATCCGAAAACCAGACCTGAACCCAGACAAGAATAGAGCAAGCTTAACCCAAGAATGTCTGGAGCTGATTAAAATCATCCTTTCAAGGATCCTGTTCATAAAAAGGGTATTTGTGACCAGGTGATAGTTAATAGAGATTTCTGGCTCTGCAGGAGTGGCGGCATCACAGTGTTCTCCGAGGCTGCAGGGTCCACGCCATCATGCACGAATGCACGTGCCACTCCTCCCACCCACCCGGCCAGTGCCCCGTGGCTAAAGCCTTGATGGCAGAAGCTGAGAGAGCATGCGGTAGGCTGTTCACATACAGGCCTCAAAACCTGCAACTGACCCATGAAAGAGGACCAGACAATGCCTGGACACCTCAAGAGACACTGTCTCAATAGCAGCATCCAAGTCATCCTGAAGGAGGGCAATTTTGTGCTGGAAGCGCTCTGCAAACTTGTCACAACATGCTTCCAAAGGCACCAGTGTCAGGTTCTTTGAGGGAGCTGAAAGTAACTCCTGAACCACTCAGAAAAGCTCAGCTGGAGGGCCATTTGACGTTTCAATGGAAGCGGCAAAGCAAGCCACCTTTGCCTTCTTTAGCACACCATGGGTGCAATTACATGTTTCAATGTGTGTTCAAACACTTTTGTGATGCTGCTCCAGTTTGTGTCTTTCAGGATCCAACTCACCATTTTTCTTCCCCCTATTATAGCTGGGGATCCAATACTAACCCAGAAAACAAGCAACTGTGCAGGGCTTCTGAAATTCTGTGTGTGGAGTGCTTTGTACCTATAGGAAATGATACATACTGTAATTTTGATCTTTTCTAGGATTCTTGACCATTGGAATCTCTTCTGTCTACAAAGAAAAGGGGCAGCACTTACTGAAGACAATCAAGTCCATCTTCAGCCACTGCTCCCCTGAAGAATTGCAGCTGTTCACCCTAGTTATATATCTTGCCAGTAATAATGCTCAGATGAATGAGCAGATTGCAAAAGAAATTGAGACTGAGTTTAGCATACATGCCCGTGGAGGAAGGCTTCTCGTTATACAAAGCTCGCTAGCCAGTTACCCCCCTCTAAGCAAGCGGAAAGATTCCTGGTACAATGAGGAAAAGGGTGGGACTCAAGCCAAACAGAATGTGGACTATGCTTATCTAGTTAACTTCTGTGCCAGTCTCTCTCTGTATTATCTGATGCTGGAAGATGATATTGTCTGTGCCTCCAATTTTGTTTCCATTATACAAAGATACATAAAGGGCCTGAAGAGGTCTTGGACCACAATAGCGTTTTCAAGGCTGGGCTACATAGGGAAACTCTACCATAACTCTGATCTGTGCAAACTGGCTCGGTTCCTCTTGATGTTCTATAATGCAATGCCTGCAGATCAGCTTCTGGAGTTTTTCCATAAATCTAACGCACAAGAAAACGCCATTATCTTCCGTCCTTCTCTCTTCCAGCACATTGGTGAAACATCTTCATTTCACAATATACAAACTCAGCTCAAAGATCCAGAGTTTGAAGAAGATTTTGGAGATTTTGGAGATTTCCCTCCTGCTTCATGTTTCACAAACATACCTATATTTTTAAATTATGTACCGGATAATGTATGTCCCCCTGGAAAGGGTATTTTCTGGGGCACTAATGTAACATCAGAGAGCTTCTTCACCATTGTCTTTGCACGTCCAATTGTTCCCCAAAAGATTCAGATTTTCACAGGGTCAGCTGAATATAACACAGACATACTCTATGATGGTTACGTAGAACAAGGGAGATTCAAAATCAATTCAGAAGTGCATGTAACATGTCTGACTTTCAAGCGACTTGGTGATTTTAAGGGTGGGCTTTTTGAAATGGAGGACACTGATAACAAAGATGATATTGATTGCCTTCGAATACATGCCACAGCTCCACAAAAGCAATGGCTGAGAATAAGGAGAATTAGTATTTGGGTGAAGAAAGATTAACTCCATTTACCAGTTTAATGCTGTGGAAAGCTACAGTGATTCTTGCTAGCTATGACTTCCATATATCATTTTCAGTAATAGAAAGGCAACTTGGTTTCCCTTTAATTAAAAAAACTGGGCTGGAAAGCAAAAAGACAAACATCTGTGCAATAAATTAGTATGTCCACACTTATGTCTATGAATGCTTTTTGCATACAAAGTTTTTTCATAAAATCCCTTAATCAAGAAGTATAACATTCACATCAATTTTCCAAAAATGAGAAGCTGAACTATATGATTACAGGACTTCAAAAAACAGTTTCCTTGAAGTCAATCTTTTTAAATGCATGGAATTATCAAATTTGATTTCTGCATTCATAATACAGTTACAATGGAGGTTGGAACATGCATTACGGAGAATGGGTTGCACCCACTAGACTGGCTGTGCTGACAGAACAGAACTCCCCGCCCCCCCCCTTTTCATGGCAGCCCCCCCAGTAAATTGAAAATCTACACAATGGGCCAGTTTGAATGCCTGTTCATGGCAGCAGGTAATATAGCTTAAACAAGCCACAGTGGTTTGTGGTGTGTAGCAGTTTACATTGTAAATGTTTAGGTTGCAAACCCAAGCAGGGTGGCTTATTTCCATGGTTACCGAATCACCCCAGAGTTCACCCTTTCAAGCCACATTGCCAGCTCCTGATTGTGTGAACCCAGTCCTAGAGTCAGGAGCCCCTATAAATGGGGTGATTTGTGGAAAGGATTCCCAAAACTGGGTGCCAGAACTGGAAGGCAAGAAACCTTAGACTAGTTCAGGGGTCCTCAAACTGCACCCCGTGGGCCAGATATGGCCCACCAAGGTAATTTACCCAGCCTGCCTCAGAGCTTTCGAACTCATTCGGAGAAAATGATCTCCGAACAAGTCCGAAAGCTCTGAGCCAGTGTAGGTGTACTCTGAAATAGTTTCAGAGACTAGCAGAGAGCCGGTGCACACGCCAAATTGTGACAGCTTCCTTCAACTGCGCATGTGCCGGCTCTCTCTGCTAGCCCTAGCTAGCTGCTGCTGCTGGGCTGGTCTGCCAGCATGAATTGAGCACACGACAGCTCTTCCCCCTAGTGCATGCATGCGTTGGCTCTGAATACAGAAGAGAGGAGTGAGAATATTGAAGAGAGGTGTGAATATGGAACCAGACATTGACCATCTCATTAGCCAAAAGCAGGCACATACTTCCCATTGAAATACTAATAAGTTTATGTTGATTAAAATTATTCTTCATTTTAAATATTGTATTGTTATTTCTTGGGGGGGTTTGCACTACAAATAAAAATGTGCAGTGTGCATAGGAATTCGTTCATATGTTTTTCAAGCTATAGTCCAGTTCCCCAACAGTCTGAGGAACAGTGAACTGGCCCCGTTTAAAAAGTTTGACCCCTGGACTAGTTCTTACAAAAGAATCCCAGACAGTAGGAGGGTGTCTAGTCTGCTCTGTTCTCATCCACTTATTTCTTGCTTTTTCAAGAACCTTTTGGCAACAAATCCCCATCATCAATTTCATTTCATAATATATATTCAGGATTTGCTTTATAAATCCTTTTTCTTTGGGAGACACAAAATTGCCGCATGCTGAGAAAACCACGTGATCTCCAGGGATGCTAGGATCAAGTACTGGGAGTCCACATTCCTCAGGAGCAAAAGCCAACCCCTGGCTTGTCTTGGCGCACCTGGAGCACCATCTGAGGGTCCCTAAAGGCACTGGCAGCACTGAAATGCAGCAGTGCTCTGATGCCAGAGAAGGCAGGAAGGGAGGCCTGCACTGTACCAGGAAAGGCTTTGCATCCTGTTCCCAACACGGTTTTCTTCCCAGTGGGACAAACTGAGAGGGAAAATCTAAAGGAAAAAAAAAGGCTAACCAAAGAGTGTGTGTGTGTGTGTGTGTGTGTGTGTGAGAGAGAGAGAGAGAGAGAGAGAGAGAGAGAGAGAGAGAGAGAGAGTGAGTGAGTTGAGGTGACCCGACTGGTGTGTGCCCACGAGGCTTTGGCATTTCATCCACCACAGAGTTGCCTCCTCCTGCCTCTGCCCCGCTGGAGGTCTCTCCTGTTCTTGCATTTCGATTCCAAGTGCAGCCAGGCAGCTGCTTCTGTGAGGAAGATGACCTGTTTGCACCCAGCTCTAGATCCTCAAGGCTAGAGGTTCCATTCCTAATACATACATAGATGCAAATATTTTAAAAATGCCTGGTGACATGGCCCAGGTCACGATTTCCTGCATATGTTCCTGCTTTTCAGATGCAGAAAACTGAAAGCACTGCAGGAGGTGGGACGCCCCCTCTCCCCGAATGCCGGGTGGTCCAGGGATGCCTGGCTTGGCTTGGAACATTTCTGTCAGCGTTGCTTGTCCTTTTCCCATCTACCTCGCTTCACTAGAGGGCAGCAGAGCCTCATAATTTCACTTTCCCAGGCTGGCTTTTTCTACTATTAGCAGTAGAGGGAAAGATGCCCAGGCTGCTTGACCGGACAAAGTATTCCTTAAGCTCAAGAGGGTTGGATTTAGCATCAGACAGACTTAAAGTAAACCCACTGAAATAAGAACACTTCTGTAAGTCATGACTTAGTTGTTCCATTGATTTCAATGTGCATCCTCTACACATGATTACCTCTGGATCCAACCCCCTGCATATTCCTTAAGCTTTAAGGTATATTTGGACCCCCGGACGGTTGAATGCAGTCTTTTCTTTCCATGAGAAGAAAGGATCTAGTCACGCAAGGTCCATGTGCCTGATTTTGAAATCCCTCGATTCCTCACACCGCAGCTTCCCACATTCAGCAGGGCTTCCAACTCTTTGCAGCACTGTAAGGGGGCTGGAGGGACTGCTGTGCAAAGGAGGGACTGGCCAGTCCACTTCCACCGTGGCAGCTGATTCTCCCTTAATTTGGATCCAAATCAAAAAGAAATAGATGGATTCTCATCAATACAGGGAAGGAGAGTTGAGCTTTCACGAAGCCCACCAACTCTCTCTAAGTGGCTGTTTGAATCCACCAACTGGTAGCTTTAAAAACCACAGTGTAGCAAGATCTCGTGGACAGTGCAGGTTCTTCCTTGGCCCTTCCTTCTAAAGTGAACTAGGATTGCAATTTCCCAGTTTTGAGGCCTCTTCTGCCCATGTTGTTCCTTGTAAGCTGGTCTGAGGCAGGGAGAGGGTGTTCGGAGAAGTCTTGGCTCTCACCGCAAAGTGGTCAGCAGAACCTCAGCTTTGCTCCTGGCTATGAGAAGAGGATGGGAGATGTTTGGATCATCCAGTTCCATTATGAGCCAGTTCCCAGACTGCACAATAGTCATGTATGCTTTAAAGAGATATTTCCATGCCAAAGCAGACCGATCAGCCCCCCAGTTGCATGACTGCCCAGTTACTTTGACAAGTTCACAGTCAGCCCATGAAAAAAAGTCCATATCCTCTTTCCTAGTTAGCTTAGCAGTGTCCAAATCTCCTTTTAAAGATCTAAATATGCAATGAAAGAAGTTTGCTGGCATCATTTCCAGACATTCATTCATATATATATATTCTGGCACAAGTATGTTCTGTCTTATTATCAGTCTGTACATTTTGTTTTTATAAACCGCACAAAAGTTATATTTTATTTTTCTGCAAAGCATTTCCTTATGTATACATAGAAACATAGAAACATAGTGAGTCAGAAGGGGCGTCCAGGCATCTAGTCTGACCCCCGCTGCAGCCGGCTCCGCTCACGACATGCCCACCATGTGCATGTCCAGCCTATCCTGGAACACCCTCACGAATGGGGCCTCAACCGCCTCCTGTGGAAGCCCATTTCATATCCTCAGAGTCCTACATTCTGTCCTACATTAACACATTCTGTATTAAGCTTTTCCTAGTTCACATTTTTGTACACATTTTCTTAAAACCTGTATTTTTGAATGCAACTTTTTCTCATGTATGCATCTACAGATACAAGTTTTGAGCTGAAGCTGCGCTGTGGGCAATCCAAGGAGGCATGACCCTGATCCTTGGATTGATCCACGTGGTAGTGACTGGGTAGTGGTTGGCTCACTCACAAATGTAGACTAAGCAGAAACGTTCTGCATCCTTAGTTGGTTTAGCTCATTTTTTGTGACCCTGACAGGCCACGGGGCTAGAACTATCGTTAGTCGCTGGGTGACCTTGGGTCAGAGGTTGCCCCAGGTGGCAGACGCGTGAGGGTGGAAGCCAGACGTTAGGCATGTGCTACACAATTTGCCCTGCACCCTAAGCCTGCCACCTGCCAGGGTGCTGGAGACCATCCCATCGCTAGTGTTAAAGGAAGATGCAGCTGCCTGTCCCCATCAGACAGCCAGCAGGGCGTAGTGGTTAAGAGTGTGGGCCTAGGACTCAGGCGACCTGGGTTCTAGTCCCCACTCTGGCACGGAGCCAACTGGGTGACGTTGGGCCAACCACAGACTCTCAGCCCAACCTACTTCACAGGGTTGTTGTTGCCTGAGAAGCTGAGGAAAATTATGGCAACCACCCTGAGTGCCCTGCAAAAGGAAACATGGTGGGAGGTGAATATAATGTTAAATACTTTTGCATGGACTGAGTGGTCACCATCTTGTTCTTTGCCTCAGGTGGAGAAATGTTAGGGCCAGCCTCGATAGGCCCACAGCCATCTTTGTGAGTGAGCTATGTAAGAAGGTGGCAAGGGTGTCGTTGGCAAAGTCCCCCTGCTTCTTCAGGTGGCCTGCTAGCAAGGGCCACCTCCGTGCTGTTGGCCAAAGGAGGGCTGCACAACCCCACACCCGGTGCACTCACACAGAGCTGTGGACTGGGCTGTAGCTCGGTTCAGACCTGCCCCGGAACAGCTGACGCAAGAAGCACTTTCTGCTTTATTGCGAGATCAAGTCACAGAGAGCTATTTGCTCTCCCTGTCCTTAGGGAAAACTTTCAAAGCGACTAACTCTGTGTTGCACGCCTTCATCCTCTTCTTTGTGAGGAAGATTTGTTTGTGCTGGTGATGTGCCCCTGTTGCTT